CCCACATCCACTTCCATCAGGATGGGACCACGGTGATGGGAGAAAAGGGGTACTAACTCTACGACTGGAGGATGAACATAGGCTTCTTGAAGACCCGTCACCCCCTTTGACACACATGGAAACTAGTTGGTTGGAAAAATACCCTCATACCTAGGCTGAAACAGCAGGCGTGGGACTAGCCAAAAAGCAGTCCCCACTGATAATCAACCTCAAGCCCTCAGCAGCCCCCATGGCCATCAAACAATATCCCATGAGCCATGAGGCTAGGGAAGGAAGGAATCAGACCACACATTAACACCTACTACGGCAGGGCATCCTCAGGCCCTTTCATAGCCCTTAGAACACCCCTCTCCTTCCCGTAAAGAAGCCACGCATGGGGAACTACAGACCTCCAGGAGGTCAATTGAAAGACTGAGGATATCCATCCAACGGCACCCAATCCCTGTAATTTGCTGAGCCCGCTGCCCCCGTGCCATATCTGGTACCCAGTATTAGATCTTTTTGCCTCAGACTGAGCCCACAGAGCCAGCCCTTGTTTGCATTTGAATGGAAGGACTGAGATTGGGTTTTCTGGCCAACTCACATGGACACGACTTGCCCAAGGGTTTAAGAATTCACCCACTCTAGTCGATGAAGCTGTACACCAGGATTTAGCGGACTTCTGGATCCATTACCCTAATGTAGTCTTACTCCGATATGTAGATGACCTTCTCTTGGGAACAGAGACTGAGCATGACTGCCTCCAAGGTACTGAGGCCCTACTGCAAAAGCTGGGAGAATTGGGGTACTGGGCATCAGCAAAGAAAGCCCAACTCTGTAAAGAACAGGTCACCTACTTGAGATACCAGCTCCAGGGAGGTCAGGGATGGAGGGGCGTAAATAGGCGGTAGCCCTGATCCCACCGCCCAAAACCCCTGAGTGGTACGCAAGTTCCTAGGCAGCGCAGGATTCTGCCGCCTCTGGAATCCGGGCCTTGTGGAGCTAGCAACCCTGCTATACTCCCTAACCAAGACTAACACCCCTTTTGCATGGACAGAAGAACATCAGAAGGCCTTTGATGAAATCAAAAGAGCCTTGCTATTGGCACCAGCTATGAGTCTCCCCAGCATAAGCCTTTCTCCCTTTGTCTTCCAGGTAAGTCAGTTGGTGCCCAAACATTGGGATTAATTGGAAGCTACATTGTGCATAGAGACCACAAAGCTCAGGACAGGTAGAAAGAATGAACAGAACAATTAAAGAGACCCTAACTAAATTGACCATAGAGACTGGCAGTAGCTCCTGCCTATGGCACTGTTCCGGGTCCGGAACACACCCTTGATACATGGGCTTACACCTTTTGAGATCTTATTCAGAGGACCCCTACCCATAATAAATATGCTCCCCGCAGATCCTAACCATCCCGCTGACTCCCCACCCCTCTAGGCCTGCCTATGTGCTCTTCAGATTATTCAGAACCAGATCTGGAAGCCACTGGCTGCAGCATACCAGGCCGGAAGCTCTGTCGTCCCTCACCCATTCCAGATTGGGGACTCCTTAAATGTCAGGTGCCACCAGTCCAAGACTCTCAAGCCTCATTGGAAGGGCCCTTACACTGTGCTCCTGACCTCCCCCATGGCACTCAAGGTGGGCAGAATCGCGGCATGGGTCCACACCTCACAGGTCAAGAAGGCTGGAGCCATCGGAGATCAAATGAAGGACAAGACACTGGGATGGCGACTGCAACGCATCCAAAACCCGCTCAAGCTAAGACTTCCCCGCAATGCCTAATCGTTTTGCTTTGCTTGCTGTTCCCCCATTTCCCAGCCCCTATTAAGGACAACCTGTATGCCCCTCAGTAATTGATCTGGCAAGTGATTTCCCAGACGGGTGAGGTTGTCTGGTCCACCTGTGGCCATTATCCACCTGGCACCCAGTGGCCTCGCCTCACCCCTGATTTTTGTCAACTGGCCGCTGGACTGGAAACTTGGGGCATCCCTACTTATGGTGTGGACTCCCTTAAGAAGGAAATGCCTAGGTCAGACCTAGGGGACGGATGCTTTGGGGGCTGTAGCAACCCCAGGACCCGATGCTACTTGGCTCAATCAGACTTCTACGTCTGCCCTCAGCAGGGTCAACCCAGGGGGATATCAAGAGTATTTTTGTAAAAAATGGGGATGTGAAACCACCGGGAGTGCCTATTGGAACCTAAGCTCATTTTGGGATCTAATAACTGCGCCGAAATTACACCCCCCCCCCCTTGGGCAGATCTGACTGCGTGCTGCCAGCTGACTGGGGGAATTGGACCTGTGATTCGGGCCTTTGCCTCCCCTTGAGAATTGACTTCACCAACCAAGGGAGGAAAAACTGTGTTGCCTGGTTGAAAGACAAGACTTGGGGACTGAGATGGTACTTGCAGGGGCCAGATAAAGGGGTTGTCTTTAAGATTTGCCTGGAGATTCAGGACCCTGCTCCACGAGCCATAGGGCCCAACCCAGTTCTTAGAAACCTAAACCCCCCCACACCTGGAGCCCCAATTTTGGTCACTACCCAGTCCCAATCGCCATCAGTCACCCTCAGGTCACTGTCCCCCGGGGAGAAGATACCCCCTCAACCGGCCAGCAGGCCTTCTTTGGCCTCAATCGAACAAGGCCAGATATGACTAACCCTTGCTGGCTATGCCTTGCCTCCGCCCCTCCTTATTACAAGGGCATAGCCACTAATGGGGCGTTTACTAACACCACCGAACCATCCTAGTATGACCAGGGGGGACACACCATAGGCTAATTCTCACCCAAGTCTCAGGAAGGGGCACCTGTTTAGGATCTGTTCCCCAGGCTCACTAGGACCTCTGTAACAACACTCTCCTACAGTCTCAGACTGGTACAAGTCCCAAATACCTGATACCTGGCCCTGGCCTATGGTGGGCCTGCAGCATGGGGCTCACCCCTTGCATATATACAGGGGCCCTTGACCTAACTAAAGACTTTTGTGTGCTGGTCCAACTGCCTTGCGTATTTTACCACCCAACAGAATACCTGGAAGAAATATATGGTTATCACCAGACCCGATACAGGAGAGAACCTATATCCCTGACTTTAGCCGTTCTGCTAGGGGTAGGGGTTGCTGCAGGGATTGGCACTGGGACTGTGGCCTTAGTTCCAGGGCCACAACAATATAGTGAACTCAGGTATGCTACGACAGAGGACCTAAAAATATTAGAAAAGTCAGTGATTAGACTGGAAGACTCGTTAGCCTCCCTAGCAGAGGTTGCCCTTCAGAACTGGAGAGGATTGGACTTATTGTTCCTAAAAGAAGGAGGACTCTGTGTCGCCCTCAAAGAGGAATGCTGTTTCTATGTTAACCAGTCAGGAGTAATCAGGGATTCCATGGCTAACTCAGGGAGAGACTAGCCCAAAGACAGAGGGAGGCTGAGGCCCAACACTGATGGTTCAACAGGACCCCATGGCTGACCACCCTAGTTTCCACCCTGATAGGAGCTCTGTTCATACTCCTTCTGCTCCTAACATTTGGCATCTGTCTCCTCAACAGGCTTTTACGGTTTATACGAGAGAGACTATCCATAACTCGGGCCCTTGTCCTTACTCAACAGTATTAGGCCATACCGAACATTGAGGTCTCTTAAGATTTTAAGATTAAAATCTTGCAAAAAGAAAAAGGGGGGAATGAAAGACTTAAACTAACAAAGAAATGAAATGGGTTCAAATAAGGAAACTCCCCAAATGGAATGCAGGGCAGTTTGACCCGGAAAGCTGAACAAGGCCACTATGACTTAGTTCCTGGAATTTGCTAACCACCTACAACCTCTCCCTTACAAGGCCCTAAGATAGCCGGATACCAAGAATTTCCAGATGGTCACCCTCCCTCAGAGAACTCAAGGGGGAACAAACTGCCCCACAGGTCAGTGTGTCAGCAGATGACAAATAGGGTCCTTGAGAAACAAAGAGATAGCTGCAACTCCCGTTTGCTTAGGCAAGATTGATTAGCACACCCTGAGGCCTTCTGACCTAAACAGTGAGACCATCTGGCCTCAAAAAGATAAGGGGCATGCTAGAGCCCATGACTCTGGTCACTACTCAACGGTCAGAGGGTCACGGCCCCTCTGTAAGCTTGTGGGTTTTGCTTTTAAAAATGCCTGTGCCCAGAGATTGACGCTTCTCTCTAGCCTGTGTGCTAAGGGGGCCCGTTTGCGCAAATGCTTCCCGTTCATTAAAGCCTCTTCTTCCTTGTTGCATCAACTGGACTGGACATTGAGTTCTTGGGGGAACTGACCGGAACAGGGAGACTCCTCATTCTGAGGATTTTAACAGGAGTAGCAGCAGCTAGCCTAATGGGACAGGGAAATGTATCAGCCTTGGTAACAAGGGAGAGAAAGGAGGGTGCTTCCTTTGACCTTGAGCTCAGGCAAAGATGCTTGCATGATCCTTTGCAATCATTGGTGGAGCGGATCTGTATGTCGAGAAATTGATTGTTCATTGCCCTTAAGTGGATGAGTGTGTTTGTAAAATAGATAAATATCTGGTTATCCACTGCCCACCCTCCACCCCCACCCCCCACCAGTGGGCCGAGCATGGTGGGGGGGAGTATCCCTCAGCTTCACTTCTTGTGTTCTTATGCCCCGGGCCCTCTTAACAGCCATGCTGAATACCCTTGTGTGTGCAGACCACTACACAAATGAGCCATTTTATGTGGGCAATTCAATACCCCAGGGTCTTGTGGAGCAGTGAGGTATTGCTCCGCTTAGGGTGGGTGGAGGTACTTGACCTCAGCCCCTCCTGGTGCTCTAGGTACTTAGAAACCAAGGCCAGCCGCTGGAGCAGCTTGCCTGGTAACCACCACCCAGAAAGACCACGGGGCCCTTGTTTTGGTAGTCTCGGTGTTGCTGTTTCTGATCAATTTATTTTCATTGAGTCTGTTCCATGCTATTTCTTAGGTGGAGAATGACTTAGAGACCCTTTCACGAGCTGCAGCAGCCTAAGCCCTGCTCTCTTTCTCTTTCACAGTGTGCCATGCTGAACTGAACGCCATCATGAACAAGAATTCGGCTGATGTGAAGGGCTGTAGTATGTACGTCGCCTTGTTCCCGTGTAATGAATGTGCTAAGCTCATCATCCAAGCAGGTAGGAACCAGGCCTTTCCGTTTGTCACATTTGCATCGGAGCCTGCTCATCAGCAGCTTCGTGCAGGTGTGTTTGATCTTAAATTGTTATTGTTTAGATCTAAATTAATTGCACTATCAACTTTGCAGGATATTTCCCGTGTTTGGTTTTTGAATGGTGCCAGATATCCAAAGACTAATTGCATCCTCTGTGATTCTTAGCATGTTTTTAATTTAGTTTGCAACTTCTTAAACTGCAAGCTGCCAAAAAACAACGCAGGCATTGCATATAATTACTGTCAATTTACCATTCTCTGACATATTGTGCATAGATTAGCGGGGAGGAAGGGAAATGAACTTCTGTCAGAAACAAGGTCAGCTGGGAGTCTGTATATCAAATTTTAATTTGTATCTAATACATGGTAGATATTTGAGGATCTAAGCAGATCTTTGCATATAAATATCATGAGACTCAAATGTTACTCTGGGCTTTTCTTTTATTATGTCACATCTGCCGTAAACCTACCACATTGTATTCTGTATATCACACCTGTATTTGAACTGTCACATCTAAGAGTGAGTAACCCTTTATCTCTGTAAAGCTCTCAGTTGGAGATTTAAAAGATTTAGCATGTTTAGCCAGATGTGTGGGTTAAAGGGACTGTTTATCATGAGCCCCCTGGGTATCAGAGCAGAAGTCAGCTGATAGCAGACCACAGCCATTGTTAAGGGGCAGTGTGGATGCCCATGAAGCTGCTACTGCTAACCTCTGTTTTCGGGGTGCTTCCTTAGCTGATCATAAGTGAAGAGGTTAGCAGCAGGTGCATGGACTCATGAGCAGTGTGTGGGCTCACCCCTTCTGAAGGGGGTTCGGAGCAGCCCTCAGGAGAAGGCCCTTGGGAATCCTAGCTGAGGTTCATGCTACCTAGGGTGATCCCTCCACAATGATACTTGATCCTAATGCTGCTTACCCCTGGATTAGCCAACATGCTCCACTCCCCACATTAGTCTCTAGAGTTGAGTAGTTGCTTAGTGAATAAAGAATAGTTGCTTACCTGCCGTAAAGAAAATTTGTTAACAACTTGACATGTTTTCTCACTTTGCATTTGTATGTTAAAAAAAAAAAAAAAAAAAAAAAAAAGCCATAAAGACTAGAAGTCAGATTAAATACAGTCCCCTCTGCTGTACTGGGAAGCCACAGATGAATAGTTCAATAACTGGACATTGTCTGGAGGCTCACTTGGAAAAGGTAATTAATTATAGGCTCTGGGCTCTGTCTCTTTTGCCTGTCTTTTGCATTTTGTGTTCATGCTTATCTTCTTTTCAGGTATAAAAGAAGTTATTTTCATGTCGGATAAATACCATGACAGTGAAGAGACAACAGCTGCTAGGCTCCTATTTAAACTGGCTGGGGTTACGTTCAGGTAGGTTGAGGAACCATTGTAGAAATACATGTGTCCTGGCCTAAAGTCTGGTGGTGCCACTCATGGTAATGTCTTTGGAAATGTGGCAGCATATGCCTCTAAAGATTATTTTAGGTATGGGGTAACGACAAAAATATCTGGAGACAGCCTGTTTAATGATTGTATTTTAATATTAGTGACTTTCTGAGGCTTAGACTAATTATGCAAGTAGCAAGAAATTTAAAAATTTACCACTTTTGTGCTAGTCCTGCCAAGCCTTTATAAATTTTGCATGTGCAAGGGTTCTAGTGGAGATGGTTTAGGATGAAAGCAGCCTGCCAGGGTGAGACACCAGGAATTCTTTTCTGAGCAACATTTTGAATTAAGAGCAGAAGCCCTTCTGACTTCTGTGATTATCTCTGCAGAGTGACGATTATGTTTTACTTGTGCATCTTGCGGTCTTTTGTGAGCGACTTGCCCTATTCACTGTGTTCTTAGAGACGTGGGATGCTTTGTTTTCTGAGACAGAGTCTTTGCATGAACAGGCTGGCCCTGAGCGTGGGTGTAACCCTGGCTTCCTCCTGCCTCAGTCTCCCAAGTGACACCACCCACCATACCCAGTTGGAAATAAGACTTTTGCAAGGTGTGTTCTTGATTGTTGTGCCTTATGTGCGGGCCCTGTTTGCTTTCTGTTGTTTTGATGAAACACTAACTGAAACAGATGTGGGGAGTAAAGGCTTTGTGTGGCTTACTGGTTATAGTCTAGCATCCTGGAAGCCAGGGCAGGAAGTAAAATGAACCTGGAGGTTTGCTTGTTTTAGAAAGTCCCAAAGTATCTGCGGTTGTTGTAGATGCATTGGAGATGAAAACACAGAGTGCTAACTATTTGCATTCATGGAACTTGATTTAGAAAATCCCCCCCACACACTTGAATGAGCTGTCTATCAGAGGCAAACAAAAGTGCACTGTGTTTGCTTGCTTTAGAGCAACTCAAGTAGGCTGCAGAGAGTTCCTAGAAAATAAGATAAATATGACGGTGAAACTGTAATCGGATATCATGTTGTGCTGCTAACTCGTTAGAAATCCTTTGACTCCCGGATAATTCATGAACTCAGACAGTTGAAGAACACACAAGCCGAGTCACCCCATGCGTCGTTCTTGTCTTAGTCTTTTCTGCCCTGTGTTCCGCTCCGTATGGGGTACTATAATTGGCTCCTGTAGAGAGAAAATATCAAGCGAGTCCCAGGATATTTCTTCTCTCTGCCCTGAAAATACAGTTTAAGCTGAAATAAACAAATTAACTACTCATTGGATAATTTCTTTATGCGTTTTGTTTTTCGTGTTCAGGAAATTCACACCGAAGCACAGCAAGATTGTCATTGACTTTGATTCAATTAACAGCCAACCGAGTCAGAAGCTCCAGTGAGTCCCGTCTCGTTAAATCTACAGAAGAAGGGTCCTCTCCTCTAAGCCGCCACCAGTACCTTTCATCTTGAAGTTGTACATAACTTTTTAATAGCAGGTGCAGCACACGTAGACATCTAAAGAAGATGTATAAAATGTCAAATCTTCTTTACTGTCCCTACTGACACATGGATCTACATCTGTTCAAGCTGTTGATTTAGTTTGATTGAGAAACTAAGGGCCTGCCCACAGGGCAGGAGTGAAGGTCTCTCCACCTTTGCAGCCTATCTGGCTGGGATGAGGGTTAGGGCAGAGTGTCGGCTCTCTTGTCATCGAAATCCAATAGCCGCTCCTCGATGCTGCATGGGTTAGGACATTCAAATAATTGCTTTGTGTTCTTAGGATGAGCAGACCCACGGTGATATGAACATCTGGCCCAAACAAAGCATACCCTGTCATACCCTTGGAAAAACAAAGAGAACCAAATGTGATGATAGCAGGGAAGTGTTTGCTGCAGACTTGAGGGGAGCTCTTGCCCTCCTACCCAGAGACGGCACATGTCCCAGCAGATGATCGGCACAACTGAACCAGGAAAATCCTCTCAGTTTTTACTCTCCTGCCACGCACATGGCATTGGCACGCCATCCCTCTGGAGGGCAGTGACCCTGTGGTTCCAGCACTTCTCCTTGGTTTGTTGGTTACATAGCCCTGTTAAATTTATCCGAGTGATAAGTGGTTCCTAGAGGAGGCAGCTTATCACTCCCCCTAGACCAGGCACTGTGTGGGGACAGCTGGAGTTGCACGGATGGATGGTGTGGGGTATCCCCACACCCCGTTTCCCCTGCTGTGTGGAAACATGTCACTCCTGCTCCACGTGCCAACATGGTTCATTTCCAAAGGCGCCCCACAACCAGAGAGTACATGAATTCCTGTCCTGTAAGAGCATTGTGGGAAACTGTTTACCTAGGGGTGGGCCATTCCAGACCACTGGTGATGGCACCTCATTCGTGTCCCTGCTGTGTGCTTTGTTTTTAATTTCATTTAACTTCTGTTAAACATGCTCAGTGCCTTTGGTAAAATGTTTTCTTTATCTTAAAGATTATTACCTTTTAGGGTACTCTTATTTTTTTCCATGGGTTTTTATTTCATCTCTGAGATTTTTCTTTTTTAGTCAATATATTCTGGGGTGTTTTGTAATTTGGCTCTTTACCAATATTATTAAAATTTTATTAAAATCTACCAGCACCAAAACACGATCGTTTTTATTTATTAAATATGCTCAGCCCTCTGCTTGTTATTGTTTCTGTATTTTCTGCAAAGCACACTGCCCAGGTTTTTACTCAGAGACTATTGGGAAGTATTAATGCCATGTTCTTTCTGGGATGGAGGGTGCTTTTTTTTTTTTTTTTTTTAAATACAGTGCAGTCTTTTAAATGGGGTGGGAGGTGTATACCATGTATACCATGCCATGGTGCACATGTGCAGACAGGAAGTAAGTTTGGGCCCTCAGCTCTGTCCTTTCACCCTGTTCTGGGGCAGGCATTTCTCTTGTTTCTGCCACTGCTCTGTGCTCTCCCGGAGCTGCATGTGCATGCTGTCATGTGCAGCTTTTTGCATGAGTTCAAGGCTTGAACAGCAACTGTTTTTATCAACCCAGCCATCTCCCTGGTCTGCAGTTCTTTTTATGGCTAGATTTCAGTGGTAGGAGAAGCTCTGCTGGTACCCGGTTTCCATGCCTGTCTCTGAGAAGCTCATCTGGTGGATTCCAGATTACTATTATTATTATTCCCTTCTATCACGCTTCAGGTCCCAAGCCCTTCCACTCTCTCTCCCTTTTCTCCGTTACTCTCTTTCTTGTGTCTCCTCAGTTTATTTCTCTCCTTCAAACCCCTTGCCCTTGGTTTGCTCCAAAATGTATAAGGCAAGGAAAGTAGAAGAAATCAGAAAAGAGACAGGGAATAGGTCTGATTTTCTGTTGCTACAAGTTTTAAGTTGTAAGCCCTGTTAACAAACTGTAATTTTTGTGTCCTGTTTACAGAGAGGTCTCATAAGTCACTAGTACATTTACATAATTTTGATACTGTTATGTTTTGTCTCAGCTTGTTACATTGATTTGTAGTGAAAAACTACATTTTCTTTTGCTTGGAGGGAATGTAGTGACAGGCAGTGGTAAGTAGGGTTTGTGGGATGCTAATGCCTTGAATGTAGGTGCACACCCTCCGCCTCCAAACTCTTGCTGAGCCTAGATTCTTGGTGGCTGGGTTGTAGGTAATTATGTCTTGGTTTCCACCACTCCAGGAAGAGTGGAATAGTCCTGTCCAGAGATTTCTGCAAATGTCAGGGCTCCAGCTAATAGAAGGTGCTTTGAACTGTTGCCTTTGGGAAGAGCATTCCAGAAGGAGGGTGTTCTGAGCACTCTTTTGCCTTGCAGGCATTGCTGGATAATTGTGGCGAAGGGAGACTGTATCTGAGAGCTGCTGGGGCTGCCTGTCATGGCTAATAAATGGCAATGAGGAAGCCATCTTTCACTGAACTACTGGCAGAATTACATTGAAAGGCAAAAGTTAGAGTAAAATGATAGGAACTGTTTTCCTGACATTTTATACATCCCCTCCCCCATTTTTGCACATGTCCCTAAAGACTTCTGACGTCCGACAAGACCTAGCAGTGAAAATGATCTAACTTTTCAGCCATGTTTCCTAATGACATGGGAAGCAAAATATGACAAGCAAAGACAGAAAAAAATCTCATTAATAAAAACAGACTCCTGTTTCCAGTGATTCAAAATCCTGGTCATCTTCTACTGTCTGTATCTACCAGAGGATTAAAAATACTTATGATGAAGCCAGATGCAGAGGCAGACCTTTAATCCCAGAACTTGGGCAGACTGATTTCTGAGTTCAAGACTAGCCTGGTCTAAAGAGCGAGCTCTAGGCCCACCAAAGCTATACAGAGAAATCCTGTCTGGGGCAGGGTGAGTGATAAATCCTTGCAAAGTTGTCCAAGAGTTTCAGGGAGAAGATTGTTTTGCTTTTAGTAGTAGGCGAGTTTTATTATTTGTAATTGATGTTTAAAAACAGTAAGTCTGCCCTAAAAATGATAGCTTGGTAAGTAATTACCAGGGCAGCCAGCCTCAGGCCCAGTAGAAGGACTGGAAGTCAGAATTTTGCAAATACATGTCATCTGAGAATGTGATGAGTTGTGCTGAGCTGCAAAGATACAGGCAAAATATCCCCAAGCCCAGAACTTAGGGGCCTGGTAACATTTACAGGGAAAGGCATCACACTGGCCTACATGAGAAATGCTCTAGGACAATAGTCAGTGCTCTTTCAGACCTACCGATGGAGTATAGTGCCATCTCTTCTGAGAGTGCTGACTGTGTGTGCATTGGATTCTCTGATGCTACCAACTTAGGCTTTAAACATGCTGATGCTCAGATACCAGAGTGTGAGTCTGATGAAGCCGTCCCCTTATCAAACTGAATGACGGGCTTCAGGTACTTGAGATGTACCCTTGTTAATGCTGTCACCTCTCAGAGCCATGCCACCCTAGAAGCCTGAATCTCAGGAAGGTCAAAGACTTTGAGAAGTTGTCTTCTTTGATTCAGTTGAGTTAAATATTTCCATAGAGAATTGGGAGCAAGGTCCTTTGTTGATCACAGGAAAAGGTGTCATCTGTTGCTGACAAAGGAAGGAGATTACTTTTTGGAACCCAAGGAACTGTTACATGGATACTTATACAAAACCATCTCCCTGTTTGTTCATCAGCTGCCAAGTCTCCATTCAAGCACTATGTGCCCTCCTAAGCCAGGTCCACATCTTGTTGCTGTCATTCCTGTTAATTGAAAAACAACAACAAAAAACCCTCTTGAGTATGTGTAGCATGGAGATTGTCATCACTGCCTTAAAGCTTGGTAGTACTGACCCCAGTTCTATGGTGCAGCTGTTTGATGCTGTAGTTCCTTGTCCTACCAGGTCCCACCGCTTTGGCCCCAAATAAACACACAGAGATGCTATATTGTAAAACTGTTGGCCAGTGTCCAGGACGTCTTATTAACTAGCTCTGTCTTATTAACCCATAACTACTATCTATGTATTTCTACATGGCCTTATCTTACCGGAGAATGCCTGGCACATCCTATCCTCCCAGTCCCTTCATGTGGTGACCCTTTCTGGTGCTTCTCTGCTGCTCAGAATTCTTGTCTTCTAGCCCTGCCTATATTCCTACTTCTATTGGCCACGCTGTTTTATACATCAACCAATAAGAGAAACATATATACAGAAGGACATGCCCCATCAGCTGTTGCCCCATCCTCCAGAATGGGATGAGTGGTTTCCAGGCTGAATGCTCTCCACATCACTCAGTAGCTCCCTCTCAACTCCTCCCTGGTCCCTAGTAGCCACCACGATGATTCCTGCTTAACTTTCACTGACTACCTCAGATAACACCCATTCAGTAAATAGGATCCCAGAATACTCCTCTGATGGCTTGTGTGGATTAGCATATTGCCTTCAGGATTCATCTGTGTTGTAGCCTGTGTTGCTATGCCCCCTCTTCTGCAGGCTGAAGAACATCCTGCTGTAGATGTGACACATTTTATTACAGATTCATCCACCTATAGACGCTTGGGTTGTTGCTCTTGTGATCCCTCTTTACCTGTGCTGTCTTCCTCAGCCCCCGCCCCCCCACCATCTTTGGTAAAGAGTCTTTAAGCCAGCATTCCCCCCCCCTTATGTTTTTTATTGTTTTGAGATAGGGTTTAATGTGGAAATTACTATGTAGCCCTGGCTGGCCTCCAACTCTAAATCCTGCTGCCACAGATGCGTGAGTGCTAGGATTATAGGGATTTCCTGTCAAACTTGTGGGTCTGTGTGCGTGTGTGTGTGTGTGTGTGTGTGTGTGTGTGTGTGTGTGTGTGGTGTAGTCAACATGTATGCATATGTATGCAGTCATGGTTGCCTGTGCATGTGTGTGGAGGACAAAAGTCAGTGTTAGATGTCTTCTTTTACGCTCCACTTTATTCTTTTTGCGTCAAGGCCTTTGAACCTGGAGCATAGCCATTTCAGCTAGATTGGCTAGCCAGCAAGCCTCCTAGATCGATTCCCCCCCCCCCCCCCCCCCCCCGTCTCTATTCGGCAGAGGTTACAGGCTTGTCCGACTGTACCTAGATTTTTATGGTAGGTTTCAGAATAGTCCTCATGCTCGCTCACACGGCAAGTCCTCATGCTCCACTAGCAATCTCCCCAACCCAACATCTGGCTCTTAAAGCAGTGTTT